CAATACTATTATCAACAACCACAACCAGATATTAATTATCAATACCAACAACAAAACCAAAATCAAAACCAAAACCAAAATCAAAATCAAAATCAAAATCAAAATCAAAATCAAAATCAAAATCAAAATCAAAACCAAAATCAAAATCAAAATCAATATCAAGAGTATCAACAACATTACCAAAATCCTTATCAACCACAGCCCCAGTTTAATAATATAAATAATAACAATAATAATAGTTATCATGAAGAATATCAAAATTATCAACATCAAATCTATACTCCCAAAACCCCATCATCAAATAATCAACAAAATCAGCAAAAAATAAATTATAAAACACCAATAAAGACACCAATCAAGACACCAATGAAGACACCATTAAAAACACCTCTTACCCAACTCAAAAAAGGAAAACCATTTTTCCCTCAACTTGAATTATCTACAGAGGAAGAGGATGATGAAATTGACAAAGAGTACCGTCATAGAACCAGAAAAATGAACCAATATTACAATAACAACAATAATAATAATAATCAAATGTTATCACCAACAAATGTAAATGAAAATAAAAATTTAAATAATTTTAATAATAACAGTAATAGTAAAAATAAAATAAATAATCAAAATAACAATTTAAATTCAAAAAATAATAGTGTAGATAAAATAAAGAACAACAATAATTTAAATAACAGCGATTTTAGTAAACAAAATGTAGAAATAGATAAAAACAATGAAAATAGCAATAACAGCAATAGTAATAATAACAAAGATAAATTAAAAAAAGTAAATAGCAAATCTAAAAAAGAAAACCCGACTGTAAATAAGCAAGATGATATAGATTTGGTAAGTACTTTTAAATTTATTCACATATTTAAATTATTGGGTTATAATACTAATTATTTTTTTTTATTTTTTTTTTTTTTGTTTACTTAGTCTTCAATTCATAGCGATAGCCATTATGATGATACTTATGATACAGAAGAAAGCTCTTTTCGTGAATAAAATTAAACTTTAAAATTTTTTATATTTGGAAAAAAAAAAAAACAACTTAGATACATAAAGAATTTAATTTTTTTTTTTTTTTTGTGTAAAATAAATTAAATAAATCTAAATATTAGCCATTATAATATTTTTATTTTAATCTATGATTATTATTCTATTTTTATTTTTAAAATTAAAGTGGCCACTTGAAAATTAATTGCAATCTATATGATTTATTATTAATATTCAATTTTTTTTTCATAATTTATTTTTGTTTTTTTAAAGGTAAAATTAAATTCATCAATAATATTTTAAAAAAGAATTATAATTGCAAAAATATTGATAAAGAAAAATGGAAAGAAATTGTACCAAATCAAAGGAAAAACCATAAACCAAATTTAATGTATATCATGGCCAATATCGACCTATTATTCTTTCGAAAATAGGTATATATGGTGAAAAAGATTGGGAATGAACAAGAAGTTTAAAATATATTAATAAATAATAATAATATTTTAAAAAGATTCCAAAAAATAAAATTATATTATTATAAACAAAAATATACCACGAGTTCGGGGTTTTTTTTATCTTTTTTTTTTATTAATATTTGAAAATCTAATAGACATATTTGGGGTGGACAGATAGATTTGGTGGTTTTTTTTAAATTTTTTTAAGGGGAAAACAACATTAATTATTTTTTTTATTTTTTTTTTTTTAATAAAATTTAATAAAATTTTTTTTTTATGTAAAAACTTGTGTATTATAAAACTAGATTTTACATTTAAAAGATTAGATAATATTAATGTTTACAAATATTTTCAAAAAAGTTTAATAATCTCGATATTTAAAAGAAATTATTATTATTTAGTTTACTTTTATAAAATACCCCAATTGATTAAAGGTAATAAAGTTTTAAAAAAATTCTATTAATAATTTAAATTTAAAAAAATATATATTTAATTTTTTTCTTTTCTTTTTCTTTTTTATAATTTACAAACAATATTTATTTTTCTTTATAATAATGGAAATTGAAGATAAAAATAAGATTTATGAAAAAAATAATGGTGATGTTGCAGTTATAGGTGTAGGTTTTAGAGTTCCAAGTGGCGATCTTATAAAATCAATTTCAAATACAAATGAATTATGGAATGGGTTATCGAGAGGATTCAATGGTATCGTAGAAACATCTGAAAGATGGTCAGATAACTATGCTGCTACAGGTGATATCATTTGTAAATATGCTGGTCTTATTCCTCTTGATGAATGGAAATCTTTTGACCCTATTTTCTTTGGTATCCATCCAAGTGATGAAAATGTCAGTTCTATCGATCCTCAACAAAGAATGCTTTTAAAATGTACATGGGAAGCATTAGAAGATAGTGGAATAGATCCAATAGCATTAAGAGGTTCAAACACAAGCACTTTTATGGGTTCTTCTACTATAGATTATTATACTATGAACAAATCTCCATTTGAAACTCAAAATAATATTTTCGGATCCACATCTCATTCGGTTGCCAATAGAATATCATATTGTTTCGATTTTCGTGGCGAATCACTAACTATCGATACTGCATGTAGTTCATCATTAAATGCGATTAACCTTGGTTACAAGTCAATTAAAGATGGTGTTTCAGATTTATCTATCGTAGGTGGTGTTAATTTCATTATTGGTATGTATTAAAAGTTTTTTAAATTATAATTTAAAAGAAATTCTAACATGTTTTTTTATTTTGAAAGATCCTCATATTTCAAGATCTTTTACCCAGTTAGGTATGTTAAGTCCAACTGGAAGGTGCCATTCGTTCTCATCGGATGCTGATGGTTATGTACGTTCAGAAAGTGTTGGAGTTGTAGTATTGAAGAGTTTAGAACAAGCAATCAAAGATGGTAATAATATTTATTGTGTTATCAAAGGTTCAAGTTCAAATGTAGATGGTAACTATGATAAAGCAAACTTTTATTCGCCTTCAAAATCATCTCAATATAGAAATGTTAAGTTAGCAATCGAATCTACCAATTGTCAAATCAATGCATCAGATGTTGATTATATTGAGTGTCACGGTACTGGAACGCCAACTGGAGATCCAATAGAACTAGAAGGTATTTCAAGAGTATTCAAAGATACTAACAAACAAGTTTTGATTGGTTCCATTAAATCAAATATCGGTCACGGTGAAGCATCATCAGGTGTAATGGCATTAATCAAATGTTGTGTCATGTTTAAAAACCAATCATTTGTCCAAAATATCAACTTTAAATCACCAAATCCTGATATCAAATTTGAAGAATGGCGTCTAAAAGTTGTAACTGAACCAACACCATTCAATAGTAATAAAAACACTGTTATGGCTATAAATAACTTTGGTATTACTGGTATGTATAATAATTTATTAAGTTTGTTATTCTGATAAAATATAATACTAATTATTTTAATATAGGTTCAAATTGCTGTATTATTTTATCAGAATATAGTATAAATAAAAGTCAAAACTCAAAAATAATAAATAAAAAGTATTTAATACCATTTTCATCCAATTCATCAACTTCACTTGATAGATACAAACAAATTATTATGGATCAATCAGGCACATTTGATTTCAATAAATTTGCAAACAATCAAATCAAATTTAAATCAACATCACTTGTTCAAAGATCAGTTATTATTGCAAGTGATTGGAATGACTTTAATGATAAACAGAACCATTTTAAATCATCAAATGCAAATTCACTTTCAAATATTACAATCGAAAATAAGAGTCCATTTACAGTTTTTGTTATTTGTGGCCAAGGATCGCAATTTAATCGAATGGCATTGGAACTATACCAAAATGAAGCAATATTCAAACAATGGGTAGATAAATTCGACAATGAACTTTTCAAATACTATGGATACTCTGTTTTAGAAAAGCTAAGATCAATCGATGATAAAGATATGAAATCAGTACATGCTCATACAATTGCACAACCATCAAACATTATGGTACAAGCATCATTATTTGAACTATATAAACACTGGGGTATCAAAGCAGATTTAATCGTCGGTCATTCTCTTGGTGAAATATCAGCATCATATTGCTCTGGTATGATTGACTTTGAAACATTATGTTATTTAGTATACCACAGATCGGTAGCTCAAAATAAAACAACTGGTACTGGTAGAATGTTATCTGTTAATATAAGTGCTGAAGAATATATATCAAATTATTCATCAAAATACCCAACAGTAAACATTGCTTGTTACAACTCACCATCATCAATTGTAGTATCAGGTAAAGAACATTTATTAGATGAAATTGTTGCTGATTTAAAATCAAAAGATATATTTTGTGCAATGCTTGGAACATTATCATCGCTACATACTTCTAGCCAATTAGTTATTAAAGATGAAATATGTTCAATGAATATTAAATCAAAACAATCAACAACACCAATTTTTTCAACAGTTACAGCAAATTTATTTAATCACGAAACAACACCATTCAATTCAGAATATGTATTTGAAAATGTTTTACAACCAGTAAGATTCACTCAAACCATTTCAAACATATACAAATATATTGAAGAAAACAACTATGGTAATGAAGTAACATTTATTGAAGTTGCACCACATCCAACACTATCATTCTATTTAAATCAAATGAAATCAAAACAATCACCATATTTCAATAATGGAGATAAAATAACTATTCATTCACCACTTCACAAAAAGAAAAATGACTATGATGAATTTTTAAAAACAATTTCAACACTTTATGTAAACCACTCATTTAATATTAATTTTAAATCACAAATAGATTACAACAATAGTAGTATCGACAGCAGAATGTCAGTCAATACTTTACCACTATATCAATGGGATGATAAAACCTATTTCAAAAATAATTCAACATTAGAAACAATTAAAAAAGATGGCCCTCCAATTCATCATCTTGGTAATACAAATAAATTACCATTTTTATCATATCAAACATTTATTAATACTAAAAAACAACCATTCCAATGGTTAAAAGGACATCAAGTAAAGGGCAAATACTACTTCCCAGGATGTGGATATGTTATAAATTTATTTAACATTTATCCAAATCAAGATATTACAATCAATAATATCGAATTCAGAACACCATTAATCTTACAAGATGGAGTCAATCAATGTTTACAAACAACAATCAACACACTATCAAAGAATGAATACAATATCAAATCTCATTTCAAAGATACAACTACAAATCAATGGGTATTATGCTCCACTGGTAACTTTAGTCTATTCAAACATGGTAATGAAATAAATAATATAGTTATTGAAGAAATTAAAACCAAATGTAATTTCTCCAAACTATCTAAATCTGATCTTTATGAATCAATTAAAATCAAAACTGGATTAACTTATAAAGGACTATTCCAAGGTGTCAAAGAATGTTATATTGGTGATAGTTGTTCACTTTCAATTGTGTCATTAAATGAAATTCAAAATCAAAATGAATTCAATCATTTAATTGAAAACGATTCAATGAAATCATTCTTTAATGCCGCAATATTAGATTCATGCTTACATGGTATGCTAGGTTTCATTAAAAATCAATGTCAAATTGTATTAGAAAGAATCGAAGGATTAAAATACTATTCAACAAATATACCACCAAATAATCAACAATCTGAATTATATGTATATTCTGAAATGAAATCAAGAACTGACTCGTATTCATACTCTGGATCAATTATAATAATGTTAAGCGACGGTACATTATTAGCTGAGATTGCAAATATTGTTTGTACATCACTTACACCAATCATCGACAACACATTGATTATCCCACCACCATCAAATGAAATCTACACTCCATATCAACAATCAAAAGACTCTATAATTAACAAACCAGAATCATTCAAACATTTATACCAAATTGATGATCTAAGTGTCAAAGATCAAGATAATGAATCAATATCAAATGAATATTTATTATCACTCTTTTATACACATATCAATCAAAGATGTCCAGATGTCAACAATGAAACATTATCAACAATCGATTACAACCAATTTAAACAACTTTATTACAGAGAATCAATAAATGAAAACTATTTTATTTTCATTTTCGATAATTTAAAAAAATATAACGAATTAGGAAATAAAAAACAATTAAAAGAATTTTGTTATCACAAATCGAATATTAAAATTTTTGAAAAAACCACCAAAATAATGGCAAAACAAATATTTCCATTAGAAAATGATGACGAATACACTGATACAGCTCAATCACTTTTTAATGGTGGGTTTTTAGAAGACTTTTATCAAACATCTAAAGTTGTTCAACCATTAAACAATCTATTAAGTGAAATAATTTTAGAAACTATCAAACCAATTGTTAACGAACCAATTGTATTCAGAATATTAGAATTCGGAGGAGGTGTAGGCTCATTATCCATACTTGTACTCGAAAAGATT